ATGAAATCCTACAATGTTGGTTTTTTTGTGGCTGGCTTCACTGAACACAGCGTTTTCAAGGTTCATCTAGATTCATCTAGGTTGCAGTGTATATCAGTGTTTCATTCCTTTATTTATTTTTTTTTTGAGACAGGATCTGTTGCCCAGACTGGAGTGCAGCGACACACAATTATAGCTCACTGCATCCTCGAACTCCTAGGCTCAAGCTATCCTCCTGCCTCAGCCTCCCAGTTGCTGGAACTATAGGCATGCACCCCCATGCCCAGTTAGATTTATTTTTATTTTTGAGATGGAGTGTCACCCAGGCTGGAGTGCAATGGTGTGATCTTGGCTCACTGCAACCTCTGCCTCCTGGGTTCAAGCCATTCTCCTGCCTCAGACTCCTGAGTAGCTAGGATTACAGGCATGCACCATCACACCCAGCTAATTTTTGTACTTTTAGTAGAGACAGAGTTTTATCATGTTGGCCAGGTTGGTCTCGAACTCCTGACCTCAGGTGATCTGCCTGCCTCAGCCTCCCAAAGTGCTAGGATTACAGGTGTGCGCTACTGTGTCCTGCTTGTTATTTTTAGTAGAGATGGGGTATTGTTATTAATGCCTGGGCCCAAGCGATCCCCCATCTTGGCTTCCCAAAGCATTGGGATTACAGGCGTGAGCCACCATGCCCAGCCTCATTCCTTTTCATGGCTGAGTAGTATTCCATTATATGAATGGACTATAATTTGTGTATCCATCCACCACTTGATGGACACTTGGCTGTATTGAATAGTGATGCTATGAATGTGTGTGTACAGTTGCCTGTACAGACTGAGAGGAGAGGGGAGGGGACAGAGAGAATGCCTGTGTTAGCCAGGTTTCTGGCTCAGTGACTGAGTTAGGGATGGGGTGGGGAGGAGAGGGGCTGGTGTGGGGGTAACAGGGTGAGTGGGTTTTAGGCCTGTGTGGACTGGACCAGTGTCTCCCATAGGATGGAGGGTGGGGATCAGTCTGTATCTAGCAGAGGTGGTGGGGTCCCAGCACCAAATGTCTCCCCAGATCCTCCCTAGGGAGAACCACCACGGTTCACAAACCACACGCACTGCTCTGCAGTAAAGAACGTTTACAGTGGCCGTGAGTCCACCATCCACATGGACCCTGTCCCCATGGTCGGACAGGCTGACATGGAAACGTCCCATGCCAGGGCCGCGAGCCTGCTGTAGCCGTCACAAACCCCCCGTCTGTGTGCATGTGCCCTCAGGGGAGGGCTGTGGGGCTTCCTTCAAGGAAATCAGTGCATAGCCCCTCTTGGGGTGTATCCATTTTGCCCAGAGAACTGGGCAAAATGATGCTCAGTAGTGACACCCTGGAATTGACTGGCTGTCTACCAGAAAGGACTGGTGACAGAAGGACAAGCCAGCACCAGCAGAGCATCACATGGCTGTCAAAAGGAATTAGAGAGGCTGTGCAGTGGCTCGCGCCTGGAATCTTAGCACTTTGGGAGTCCTAGATGGGAGGATCACTTGAGGTCAGGAGTTCCAGACCAGCCTGGCCAATGCAGTGAGACCTCGTCTGTAAAAAGAATGTTTAAAAATTAGCTGAGCATGGTGATATGTGCCTGTAGTCCTAGCTACAAGGGAGGCTGAGGCTGGAGGATTGAGCCGAGGAGGTTGAGGCTGCAGTGGGCCATGTTCATACTACTGCGCTCCAGCCAGGGTGTTAGCTCAAGTGATATGCTTGCCTCCCAAATTGCTGGGATTACAGGTGTGAGCCACCACACCCAGACTGTGATGGCTTCTGAGAACAGAATGGTGGCATGATGCTGGGACTCAAAGACATCTCTCTCCTCCATTCAGTCTCTCCCCAAAGCAGTCCTATTCCTGGGTTGGGTGAGAAAGCAAGCATTTCCCAGAATTGTGACCTGGTTAGGTAGAAGCCAAGGGCAGCTGGGCCAGCACTACCAGGGGTGAGCAGATGGCCTCTTCCAAGAGAAGAAATTCTGTAATCCCAGCACTTTGCGAGGCCGAGGCAGGTGGATCACCTGAGGTCAGCAGTTCGAGACCAGCCTGGCCAACATGGCGAAACCCTGTCTCTACTGAAAATATAAGTTAGCCAGGCATGGTGGTGGTGTGTACCTGTAATCCCAGCTACTCAGGAGGCCAAGGCATGAGAATCATTTGAACCCGGGAGGCGGAAGTTGCAGTGAGCCAAGACCTTGTCACTGCACTCCAGCCTTGACAGAATGAGAATCTATCTCAAAAAAAAAAAAAAAAAAAGAAAATCACCCAAACAAAAAAACCACAAACAAGAGGGAAATTCACATCCTCTCAATGTGGTCATTAGCCACTCAGCCACCAGCCAGCCACTGCCCGGGACACCAACCACTTCCTTGGTTCCTAGAAGAGCAGAGGGGACACATAATCAAAGGTACTAGGACCCAAAACAGCACCTCGGAATTGGAAAATCCAGCCCGGAGCTTGCAATTGCAAATCACCAGACCTGGGTGAAGTTCCAGTTTACCAGCTGTGTGACCTTGGACAAGTCACTTAACCTCTCTGAGCCTCAATTTTCTCCTGTATAACACGGAGAAGAATTTGGGGATAAGTAAAATAACACTTACAAGGTGCTTGGCACAGAGCAGAAGCTCAAAAAGCATTTGCTCATATTTGCCGAATCCCAGAGCAACGGTTCTTCACCTTTTTGGGATTGCAGAACCCTTTGGGAATCTGAGAAAGCCTGGACTTTTTGCCCAGAAAGGTGTGCGTCTACACATATGACATGATTTCTGGTGGCTCTGGGCTGCGTGGCTGGTGCCCGTGGTGTGAACCAAGCATCGTGTGGCATTATCAGCCTGGCATAGGCTTCCAGAGCCTTGGGCTCCAGGCTTTGCTGTGCAGGGAGCTTCCCTGAGCCCCGGGCTGGCTCTGCAGTCAAAACTCAGCTTGCAGACCCTTGTGCAATAAATACTTGGAGCTGTAGCCAGACAGGGCAGGGAGCTCCGTGCTGCCCATCCCCGGCCTCCCAGGCCCCACTCGGCTCTCCAGGCAGACACAGGGGTTGGTGGCAGCTGAAGGCAGGACCCAGGCGCTGAAGCCGATGATGCCAGGGGTCTCCCTGGGAATCTTCACGTGGACCAGTCCTTGGGGTGCCAACCCCATTCCCCTGCTGACTTCCCCATTTCATCAGAGAAGGGACGGGAACAGGGAACCCCACTCCGGTCCTCGGCCAGCCCCCGTCTCCTCTCACCAGCTTATTAGCAAGTATCTACCCCGCAGCCCTGCAGTCTAGAACCTGCTTAAAATCACTTGGGCATGGCAGGGGGAAAAGAAACCCCACCACAAATTCTTTTCAGGTACCCTTCCTCAGGCTCTGCCTACCTTCACCCCACTTGCCCTCCCAAAGGGTAGGCCAGCCACATGTTTGCTTACCCTGCTCAGCCGCCGGAGAGTTCTGAAGTCAAATAACTAGATATAAACCAATCAACCGGCCTTTTACCTGAGGCTCCTTCCCGGTCACGTCTGTCCACTCAGCACAGGGTGCTTTACAAGGAAGCACAGCTTCCAGGCGGAAACACGAAGGCCTCAGCGTGGGGGAAATTTACGGCTTAACTTAAGGCTTTCACAAGATGGACGCAGGAGGCCTTCCGGCCAGAGCATTGCCTCCTGGGCCGGTTTATTGGGCCCTAAATAGCGGCAGCTGCACCTCGGCTCTCTAAACCCAGCGCATCTAGCTTGTTTCTGGGGGCTGTCTTGGAAAAAGCAGCATTGCTCACGGGCTCTTGGAGGGAGACATTCTGTTTTTCAAGGTGTCACACTCCCTGACAGACCCAGAACCAATGGTGCAGAGATGGACTGTCAGGGAGGAGGCGGGAACAAGCATCCTCCTAGGACCCCCATCCATCCACTCCCACCTCCCAGAGATTTCTGGTGCTAATTTGTGTTCTGTGGGTCAAAATGCCAGAAAACGCTACAGGCCACACAGTATTTTTCTGTTTTTTTTGGAAGAGATCTTTATTAATAGAGTTCTTTTATTAATAATTCATACCTTGTCTGGGTGGGAGAACCTAGCAGAGGATCAACCCATGCCCATGGTAGCTGAAACTATAAAGAATAAATTTTTTCCCTGTAACTGCTAGGAATTGCTCTTGGCTACAAGAACAGAGAATTGAAATAACAGTCATTTAACACAAGATACAAATTTCTTTCTGTCTCATGTAAAAGAAACCCAAGGAGTAGTCTTAGGCCCCCAAGTGTCATTAGTGACTGTGGCTCCTTCTCTCTTTCTGCTCTACCATCCTCTGAGTGGGGTTTCCATCCTCATGGTCACCTCAAGATGCAAGAATACTGCTGGTGCTCCAGCCATTGTGTCTGCATCCCAGCAGAAAACTGGAGGAAGCACCATTTGTCTCTCCCCAAACCTCTCCTTACATTTCCCTGATTGCAAGGGAGGCTAGGACACATGGTCTTTGAGTTGTACATGTAGATTCCCAGCATAAGTCAGGGTGCTCTTAGGAAGGAAGGAAGTCTGCGTATTAGGTTGTCAGTGGGCATTTGCTCCCAGAGTTCCCACAGACAGATGCCTGGGTTTGAATCTGAGCCTGCCACCCAGCAGCTTCCTGCACATGCACCATGGTGCCCTGCCAAGGGTGCAACCTGGCCTGGTTTGGCTGTGTCTGTCGGGTCCATACTTGGCAAGTTTGCAACAAGAGGGTGAAGGAGAAGAATGGTTCTAGAACTCCTAGGGCCTTTGCTACCTGCTGGGGAGTGGGAATGGCTTTCCTGCAACCCCAAACTCCTGGGCAGTGAGATATGAACCCCCCAGAAGGCCGTACGCCACATGCTTGCTCTTGACATGCAGGAGGAAGTCAGGCTGCCCTCTAGGGACATTGAATGTACTGCGGCAGGGGTAGTGACGTGCAGGGAAGAGCTGAGTGATGGGGGGCCTGGCCTCAGGGCTGGAGTTACGGGGAGGCCAGGTACAGAAGGCAAGGGTCCCCAGAGTCTGTGAGAGGACAGGCCCTTCCCAAGATGAGAAGATAGTTTATTGATCTTCCAAATCAGGATGCATTTGAGTCCATGGGGTACGATTAGCAAGTGTCACCCTAATCCCAGGGATAAATCAGGCCTGTCCTGGGACCCTGTGGTGTGTGGTTACCCTACCTTCACCCTACACAGGAACATGGGGCCTGAGTCCCCAGCTAAGCATGCTGGGCGTGGTTTTCAGGTTAGGAAGGTGGCAAGAGCTGAAACCCTTGCAAGCTGTTAACAAAGAAAAAGGGTTGAAACAAAGAAATAATACTACGTTTTAATGCAAGAGAAATCATAGCCTGGTACACCCTCTTCCCTGATCTGTCCTGCCTGGGAGTGTGTTTAGGGTGAGTGTGTCCCCAGGACTGGTGGACGCCTGGCTATCAGGGTCCCTGCTCTACTGGTGGCAGCACACCTGTCCCACACATTACATTCAACTGCTGCTCTGGTTCTCCAGAGGCCGGCTGGCCTCAGGGCTCTGGCTTGGTGTCCTTTGCTCAGCCCTGTCTCCCTGCGAAGGCCGGCAGGGCCAAACCACTGGGCCAGGTCAGCCGGAGCTGGGGGAATGGACTGTGCCTTGCTCCTCCCCGGGCACGTCTGTCCCCCCAGGCTCTACCACTGAGAGGGGCAGAGCATCCGCCTGGGCAGCTCTGTGGGCTGCAGGATGCCCCTGCACCCGCCACATCTCTCTGCCCAGGGTGCCCGCCTCACAGGATGACCCACGCCCATAGTGTCTCTGTCAGGGGTGCCCGCCTCACAGCTGGTCCTCGTCCACCCAGATGGTCTTGCGCTGCTCCTCGCCGATCTTGTCCTTGACCACGCGGAGCAGCTCCTCCACGCTGCCCCACATGTCAGGTTCCACCGTGGCGTACAGGCACGGCAGGGCCTCCAGCTCCTTCTCCTTCAGCCGGCACACGCGCAGGAACTCCTCCTCCGTCTCAGGCCGGGGCAGCAGCTTTCTGGGAGGAGACGTGCAGGGGCTGTGGGGAGGCTGCCGTGGCACTGGTGTGGCACCACCTGCCTGGCCACCCCTCATTGCCGTGGTCCCCATTCCTTCTCTGCCTTTCTTCTCCCTTATATCATCTGTGCCTCTTAATGCTAGGGACCGTGCCCCTTCATGCTGTTCACTGGAAATTCCAAACGCATCCTTTTTATTTTAATTTTAATTTTGAGATGGAGCCTTGCTCTGTTGCCCAGGCTGGAGTGCAGTGGCGTGATCTCAGCTCACTGCAACCTCCGTCTCCCAGGTCCAAGCAATTCTCATGCCTCAGCCTCCTGAGTACCTGGGACGATAGGCATGCACCACCTTGCCTGGCTAATTTTTGTATTTTTAGTAGAGATGGGGTTTCACCATGTTGCCAGGCTGGTCTCAAACTACTGACCTCAAATAATTCACCTGCCTCGGCCTCCCAAACTTGGGATTACAGGCGTGAGCCACCACGCCTGGCCATATCCTTTTAATTTTTAATTATGCTAAGATATGCATAAAATAAAATCAACCATTTTACCTATTCTTTAAGTGAATAGTTCCGTAGCATTAGGTATGTTCTGTGTAGCATTAGGTATACACTGCTGTGCAACCAATCTCCAGACTTCTCATTTTCCCTAAGTGCAACTCTGAACCAATAAAATACTCACTCCCCATCTTCCTCCCGCAGTCTCTGGGAACCACCCTTCTACTACCTGTCTCTAGGAATCTGACTGCTCTAGAGCCCTTATATAAGTGGAATCAGATACAGCATGCGTGTTTTTGTGACTGGCTTATTTAACTGGGAATAACGTCCTCAAGGTTTATCCATGTTGATGTGGGTGTCAGAATCTCCTTCCTTTTGAAGGCTGAATAATATTCCACTGTATAGGCTGGGCGTGGTGGCTCATGTCTGTAATCCTAGCACTCTAGGAGGCTGAGGGGGGAGGATCACTTGAAGTCAGGAGTTCAAGACCAGCACGGGCAACATGGTGAAAGCCCATCTCCAGTAAAAATACACAAATTAGCCAGGCATGGCGGCAGGCACCTGTTATCCCAGCTACTTGGGAGGCTGAGACAGGAGAATCACTTGAGCCCGGGAGACGGAGGTTGCAGTGAGCCGAGATGACGCCACTGCACTCCAGCCTGGGTGACAGAGCAAGACAACAACAAAAAAAAAAAAAAAAAAAAAAACCCAAAAAATCATACAGCATTTTTGGTGTAGTACATACTGCACCACAAACACATTTCCAGGCAGGACGGATGGGGAAGGGGGTATGTACCAGGCTATGATTTCTCTTACATTAACATGCATTATGATTTCTTTGCTTTAACTCTTTTTGGTTAACAGTTTGCAAGGTTTTCAGCTCTTTCCACCTTCCTAACCCGTGTGGATGGGCCCCATTGTGTGCATTCACTCCCCAAAGATGGACCCTTAGGTGACTTCCAGGTTTTGGCTATCGGGAGTGACGCTGGTGTGAACGCTGGCGTGGAAATATCTCTTAGAGACCCTGCTTTCAATTCTCTCGGGGATATGCCCACAGGTGGGGTTGATGGATCCTGTGGTCTTCTATTTCTAATTTTTGAGGAACCACCATGCCATCCTCCACAGGGGCCACTCTATTTTGCATTTCCAGCAGCAGTGCGCTGGGTTCTGACATCTAACCTCACCAACACTTGTCAGTTTCTGCGTTTTCTGTCTTGGCCAGCCTAAAGGGTGTGAGGTATCGAGTGGGGATGTCTGTCTCTTTTGCTTACTGCTGGGTTCCCCAGAGCCTAACCCTTCACAGGAGCTCAGTAAGTATCTGGTGAAAAGGAATGAAGGGGCCTAACCCCTCCCAGTCTCAGTTATTCCCTCTGTAACGTGGCAGCAGGACATTTATTTTGCAGGTGCGTGTGAGAGGGGCGGGGATCCGAGATGAAGCTGCTGAAGGGCCAGTCTCTCCTCATCACCCAGGCTCGAAACCTCAGCAGCATCCTTTTTTTTTTTTTTTTTTGAGATGGAGTCTCTCTCTGTCGCCTAGGCTGGAGTGCAGTGGTGCGATCTCAGCTCACAGCAACCTCCACCTCCCACGTTCAAGCTATTCTCCTGCCTCAGCCTCCTAAATAGCTGGGACTACAGGTGTGCACCACCACATCCAGCCAATTTTTGTATTTTTTTTTCTAGATAGAGTCTCACTCTGCCACCCAGGCTGGAGTGCAGTGGCACAATCTCGGCTCACTGCAACCTCTACCTCCTGGATTCAAGTGTAGATGGGATTACAGGCGTATGCCACCACACCTGGATTATTTTTGTATTTTTCAGTAGAGACACGGTTTCATCATGTTGGCCAGGCTGGTCTCAAACTCCTGACCTCATGATCCATCTGCATTGGCCTCCCAGAGTGCTGGGATTGCAGGCGTGAGCCACCGTGCCCGGCTTAATTTTTGTATTTTTGGTAGAGATGGGGTTGCACCATGTTGGCCACGCTTATCTCAAATTCCCAACTTCAGCTGATCCGCCCACCTTGGCCTTCCAAAGTATGGGATGACAGGTGTGAGTCACTGTGCCCAGCCTCTCGTTCTTTGGAACCCCAGAGTGAACCATTTCCTGAATCCTGCAGGCTCAGCCCTGAACACGGGTCCAGAGTCGGGCTGCCTGTCATCGCCTCCCAGACAGGATCCTCACTCACTGCCATGGGTCTGGGGATGTGTCCTGAAGGCCTTCCCCGACCACCCTGGGTGATGTGCACTCCGTCCCGTCCCTCCTAGCTCTTGTCCCCCATGATGTGTCCCATGTGTGTGAGTCCCCACCTCGGCCGCTGCCCTCGGTGTCAGCTCTGCAAGAATGGTCCCGTACTTGGTGAGGGTTTACTAAGAGGTGCATGAGGTGGGGCACAAAGGCATCCTGCCCTCCACTGAGGCTTGGTGGGGTCCTAGGGACAGGAGGGGCAGCCCCCAGGGGTCTCGGAACCCTACCTGAACCTCTTGATGTTCTTCTCACACACCCGGATGAAAAGCACGATGGGGTAGATGTTGGCCTTGATCAAGGCTCTCGCACAGCTGATCCCGGCCTCCAGCAGGCAGTGCTTGTTCTGCGGGCACAGTGGCTTCAGTCAGCAGCAGCCCACTCACCTTCTGCTCTTATGAAGGTGTCTGTGGCAGGGCCTGGATGCAGGTTGGGGTCGATAGTGGGGTGGGAGCCCTGAAAGCCACCTGCCTCTGATCCAGGAGATAAGACTCCCCATGAGTTTGGATACTCCAGGACTCTGCTGACCACAGTGCTGTTCATGGGCAGAGACGAGGCCCCGGCTGAGGTGAACCAGGTGGCATGAATGAGTTTGAATGAAACACCTGCTACCAGTCTGGCATGGTGGCTCATGCCTGTAATCCTTGCACTTTGGGAGGCCAAGGCGAGTGGATCACTTGAGGTCAGGAGTTTGAGCAACATGGCGAAACCCCATCTCTATTAAAAGTGCAAAAATTAGCCAGGCGTGGTGGCGTGCACCTGTCATCCCAGCTAGTCAGGAGGCTGAGGCATGAGGATCTCTTGAACCCAGGAGACAGAGGTTGCAGTGAGCTGAGATGGTGCCACTGCACTCCAACCTGGGTGACAGAGCAAGACTCTGTCTCAAACACACACACACACACACACACACACACACGCACACACACACACACACACACACAGACACGAAACCCCCTAAACACCTGCTACCCTAGCCAGCCTTCAAGTAAGAGGGTAGGGAACACATGGGTGAGGCAGCCAGGCTGGCCAGTCCCAAGAGTATCTGCAAGGGTCCTCAACCAGGAGCTCATCATTTTGAGAAAGGACCATCTATGTTTTGCTGAAGGCATTGCTTAAAAAAATGCCACCAAACGCTGGCCGGGCACAATGGTTCATGCCAGCAATCCCAGCACTTTGGGAGGTGGGAGGATTGCTTGACACTAGGAGTTTGAGACCTGGGCAATATAACAAGACCCTATCTCTAAAAAAATTAAAAAATCATTAGCTGGGCATGGTGGTGCGTAACTGTAGTCCTAGCTGCTCGGGAGGCAGAGGTGGGAGGGTTGCTTGAGTCTAGGAAGTCGCAGCTGCAGGAAGTCGCAGCTGCAGTAAGCTGTAATTGTGCCACTGCACTCCAGCCTGGGCAACAGAGCAAGACCGTCTCTAAATCAATAAAACATGAAACTTTGCATTGGAATGGAACATAAATAGAGCATTCTAAGTTGGCAGCTCAATGAATTTCGCACACTGAATGCAGCCTGGAACAAGCACCCATGTCTGGAGGCGGGAATGGCCAGCCCAGGGCCCTGCTGAGCCTCCTGCAGACCATGGCTCTCCATTCCCTGCCAGCAGGACCATGGCCTACATTTCTAACAGCACAGATCTGTGGGACAGCCGTCGGATCTTCTTTTCAGCTAAAAACAATCTTGGTTCCACCCCTGCCCACTCACTTTTTGTCCACTCCAGCTGTCAGAATTTCCTAAACTGCTGTGGCCCAGACTTTAAAAAACAAAACACCACCACCTGCTCTCAGTGTCCCCAAAGTCAGCGTCCACCATGGAGCCAGCCCCTGCCAGCTGGGGGAGCATGCCGCTAATGCAGAGTGACAGCCCTTCCTTCATCCGGCACTGGGATGAGGAAGAACTCAATGCTTAGGTCACGTCGTCTGCCTCAAAGACTCTATAATGCACACAGACAATCTCTGCATCATCACTAATAACCCTTGTGATGTCCCATTTTCCCCTTGTTTGGTGAATGGGATACCTGTCACCTTCACATTTGTTCTGCCTCTCGCCCTGATGAGCTTGTTCTCTAACTCTGGCCCTTGTTATGACAACCAGACACACACACCCCCCTAAACAATGCAAACACACACCAGCTCAGGAAGCCACCACAAATAGAAAGCAGCTCCAAAATAAAAACTCACATCGGAGTCCAGGGGACAAAGGGGTGGAGAGGGAGTTGACACAGGGCAGCTGCGGGGACAAGGAGGAAAGGTCTGGCCACGGGGAGGTGAAAGTGGCTCTTCATCCCACCCTTGTCCTTGGCCCAGGTGGTCTCACGAGGATCATCACGGAGGGTCCCGGCCCCGTCCAACCTCCCAGCCCTTGCCTCACCTTGGCAGCCACAGCTTCGATGTTGGCAGGGGAAATGCATTCAAATGTGTTGGGGTTCTTCTCTCGGGAGTGGATGATGGTCTCTGTCTTCTGCTTTCTGAGGAACTCATCTCTTGTGACGATATCTGCAGAGAGAGGGGCCGGTCCTGAGGGCAGTATGGGTGGCCTTGAGTTGGCCATCCCACCCAGGCCCTGCCTGCCACCTTCTGATCTCTACAGAACTCATTGTCCATCTGCTTCCAGCCATGTTTAAATGAATCTCGTCTCTCCTCTACTATACCGTGAAGCTCTTTGAGGGCAGGACTGAAGTTAACCTTCTTCACGCTCCCCATGGCAGCTCATAGAGCAGGTGCTTGGCAAATACTCACGGTTTGGCTTCTCAGCAATACCTTTCATTGGACAAAGCAGCTCGGGCACCAATCTGAATAAATCTCCTGTTTAACCCACCCAGCCATCCATCCATCCACTCATCCATCTACCCACCCACTCAACTGTTCACCCACCTACTCGTCTACCCAACCACCTACCCACTCATCCATCCACCTATCCATCTACTATCCACCCACTCACCCACTCATTCATCCATCCATCCACCAGCCCATCCACCCACCCACCAATCCACCCACACCCATCCACACATGCACTCATCCATCCATCCATCCATCCATCCACTCATCCACCCACTCACCCGCTCATTCATCCATCCATCCACCAATCCATCCACCCACTCACCAATCCACACACCCACTTATCCATCCATCTATCCATCCACTCATCCATCCATCCATCCATCCACTCATCCATCCATCTATCCATCCACTCGTCCATCCATCCACCTACTCATCTGTTCACCCACCTACTCGTCTACCCAACCACCTACCCACTCATCCATCCACCCATCCATCTACTATCCGCCCACCCACCCATTTTCATCCATCCATCCACCAATCCATCCACCCACCCACCCATCCACCCACACACTGGTCCACACACCCACTCAACCATCCATCCACTCATCCATCCACCCACCCACTCATCTGTTCACCCACCTACTCATCTACCCAACCACCTATCCACTCATCCATCCACCCATCCATCTACTATATACCCACTCACTCACTCATTCATCTGTCCATCCACACACCCACTCTTCCATCCACCCATCCATCCATCCATCCATCTACTCATCCATCCACCCATCCATCTACTATCCACCCATTCATTCATCCATCCATCCACCAATACATCCACCCACTCATCCATCCACCCATACACAGATCCACATACCCACTCTTCCATCCATTCATCCATCCACCACCCACTCATCCATCCACTCACCTACTCATTTACCCACCCAACTATCCACTCATTCACCTACCATCCACCCACTCACCCACTCATCTGTCCAATCCACCAATCCATCCACCCATTCACTCATCCACTCACCCACTCATCCATCTACCCACCCATCTACATATCCATCCATCCATCCATCCATCCACTCATTCGTCTACCCATCCATCCATTCACCCACCCACCCATCTATCCATCAATCTGTTCACCCACCCATTCACCCATCATCCATTCATCCACCCATCCAGAGGGAGGAAGAGAGATAGGGAGGAGGGAGGAGGATAAGGAGGGAAGAGAGGGAGTGGAGGATGAGGAAGAAGAAAAGGAGGGAAGCATAGAAGGAGGGGGAGGGGAGGAGTGAGAGGGTGGAGGAGGGAGAAGAGGGAGAAGGGAGGAGGAAGGAAAGGAAAGAGGGAAGAGGGGAAAAGGGAGGAGGGAAGATAAGAGGGGAAGTCATCCTTGTCCATGGCTCCCCCGTGGCGGCTCACCGCTCACCTGACTTGCAGATGGTGAACTCCATGGCGCCCCCCGAGTTGAGCAGCCTCTGCACCAGCGTCTTGGCCAGTGAGGTGGGCGTGAAGAGCACGGGCCGGCGGCGCTCACAGTAGAAGGCACGCACCAGGCTGTAGGGGATGAGGCTGAGGTTCTTGCCCAGCTCGCTCTCAGGGTCCAGCTCTGGCAGGGGCAGGAGAGGGCGGTGGTCAGAGCCCTGGGGCTCTGAAGGCCTTCCAGGGAGGCTGGGATCCCTAGACTGGGTCCTGGAGGCCACCGTCAGTGTGGAGGCCTGGCTGCCACCCCAGGTATCGGTTTCTGAGGTCACCTCAGGCTGGCACTTCTTGGGGCTCGTGTGCCGGGGAGGGGAGGCATGGTAGGAGGCGGGCAGAGTGTGTGGCAAATGCAGGAAACTTGGCTGAGCTCTGGAGGGAAAGGTTGCCTTGGCAGACGATCAAGGAGGGCTTCTCAGAGGAAGGGCATGGACTGGGTACAGCCTAGCAGAGCGGAGGACAAGGGCAAGGAAAGCAAATGCTGGCGGATGCCCACAAGGCAGCAGGGTCAGTGGGCAAGGCCCTGGGCATCTCCCAGGAGGACTGGGAGGGACAACTTGGCCTCAGTTCTGACTTCTTCATCCCTCTCTGGCTGGGGTTGGGGAGCCACACAGAAACCCGGGTTCTGATGAAGCCACCCCCAGGCAGCCTGAGGAAACACTTCCCAGAAACAGGCAGCCTGTCCCTTGTCCCATGTGCCTTTTATCATCCCCTGTCCTGGCAGCTCCAACTCCCAAAGGGCCAGCCTGGGGAGCCGCCCTGGGCCTCCTCTGAGATCTAGTCCAGGCTGTGACCTCCCTTTCCCTCAGCAGGGCCAGCTGGGGCCAGCGGGGTAGGGGATGGCAGCCCTTCGCTGGCTTGATAAATGGCAAGAGGCACTCAGTGGGTAGAGAAATCAATAAAATGAACACTTTACAGCAAACAGCCCCAATTAACATGGGCACCCGGGCGTGAAGCAACCACAACGAGCGTCGTTAGCGGGCGAGCTTGGCGGGACGTCGCCCGAGGCAGCCTAGTCCTCACAGCCAAGGCCGGGCTCCCTCACCCTTTTAATTTGTCTTTCATTTTTATTTTTAGAGCTAGGGGTCTTGCTGTATGGCCCAGACCAGTGTGACTCTGCAGTGATGTGATCTTGGCTCACTGCAGCCTCAACCTCCTGCTCAAGTGATCCTCTCACCTCAGCCTCCCGAGTAGCTGGGACCACAGGCACGTGACACCATGCATAGCTATTTATTTATTTATATATTTAAAAATTTACTTTTAATGTTTTTATATATTTTATAGTTATGTTTCTCATAGAGATGTGATCTTACTATGCTGCCCAGGCTGGTCTTGAACTCCTGGCCTCAAGCAATCCTCCTGCCTTGGCCTCCCAAAGCACTGGGATTACAGGCATGAGCCACCCATGTCCATCCTCCTCTCCCTTTTGAGGACTTCCAGGCCCCCTCACGAGGACCAATGTGCCCCCAGGTGAGGGTGAGGCATGTGTGACTGTGGCTGGGGGTGGTGGGAGGGGCCGGGCGGTCCCCATGTACCTTCCTGCTTCTCAGTCAAGAGCTTGGTAGCGTCCAGTGAGGACCGTGCCAGACTCCCCAGCGGGCTCCCTGAGATGATGCGGACCCGCTCATTGCTGTTCATCCGCTTGTACTTGTTCTCGGACCTGCTGACAAACTGGAGGAGCAGAGGGAGGGTCGGGGGAGGATTGTGCTGCTTCCCCTTCTTTTATTTTGAGATGCAGTACTGCTCTGTCGTCCAGGCAGGAGTCCAGTGGTACAACCTCAACTCATTGCAACCTCCACCTCCTCAGTTCAAGCGACTCTCCTGCCTCAGCCTCCTGAGTAGCTGGGACTATAGGCACGAGCCACCACGCTCGGCTAATTTTTTGTATTTTTTATTAGAGATGGGGCCAATTCACCATATTGGCCAGGGTGGTATTGAACTCCTGATCTCATGATCCACCCACCTTGGCCTCCCAAAGTGTTGGGATTACAGGCGTGAGCCACTGTGCCCAGCCTGGCTTCCATTTCCAAACAGACCAGGTGCTGCCTTCAACCCAGGCAAATTTCAAACCCAACCAAAGCAGATTTTTTTTAACCCACTCTGCCCCTGGGGGTTCCTGGGCCAGTCACTTCCCCTACAAAAGCAGAAGACTCCTAGCAGGTGGCCCTTTAGGCACTGGAGAGAAGTCCTGAGTCGGGAGATGAGTGAATCAGTGGCCAGGCTGTCTTCCCGGGCCGGGCCCTGGATGAGTCTCAGGTCAAGCCCATCTGCACCCCCACGGGAGCCTCAGGCACAGCTCTGTGGGCACTGTGGGAGCTGAGCTGCCCTGGTCGTGAAGACCCCTGACTGGAAGACCCTGTGGGCAGGGACAGCCCACAGACTGCCCCCCGGTGGGCATGTGCTGGACAATGTCACCTCCCTCTGACACTGCTCATCATGACTTTCTGCCTTAGTATCCCCAAGTTTTCTGGGGACACCCAATTTTTCTACAATTCAGAGGTGACTCCTGAAGGGCAGAAATGGATGCCCCAGCAGTGGGCACAGAAGCAGGTTCATGCCATATTCTATGGGCTACTTTGGGCCTCTCCCCACCCCTCCTTCTGCAGGAAGGAAAATACATGGCATCTGGGAAGTCAGCTGGCTCTCTGTTAACCGGCTGCAGGGCTTTGGATTTCACTTTTTTTTTTTTTTTTTTTTTTTTTTGAGATAGAGTCTTGCTCTGTGGCCCAGGATGGAGTGCAGTGGTGTGATCTTGGCTCACTGCAACCTCCGCCTCTGGGTTCAAGTGATTCTCTTGCCTCAGCCTCCCGAGTAGCTGGGATTACAGGTGCCTGCCACTGCACCTGGCTAATTTTTGTATTTTTAGTAGAGACGGGGTTTTGCCATGTTGACCAGGTTGGTCTCAAACTCCTGACCTCAGGTGATCCACCCATCTCAGCCTCCCATAGTGCTGGGATTACTGGCATGAGCCACCGTGTCTGGCCCCAAGATTTCATGCTTACATGACATTTGGGTGTAAAAATGCATCATCTCAAATGGTCCTGCCTTTGCCAACCCCTCAGACTTTGCCAGGGTTCCTTTCCACCTGGGTGTCTCTCTGCCACTTGTTTGTGTCTACCTGGATTTTAGGGTCACGCTGCTCACAGTTTCTCTGGGTTTCCCTGTTCCACCATCAAGATAGAGCAGCGGATGATAACACTGTCTCCACCGGGGTCTAACGAGTGAGGCAGCTACACAGGAACACGCCCATGGTGCTACATTTTCATACAACTCTCTTGGTTTTTGTCAACTGGTGATACAAGAAATGATCACAAAGTGTGCTTCTGCATTTATGAGAAATCATTTCTGAAGATACCACACACAATGCTAGTCAATGTTATTTGTACAATAATCCATGCAAAAAAATTCTCTTTTAGAATTAAGCAGAAAAGTCCTTTCTGGTCCTGATGGCTAAAATGTTTCTTAAGACTGATAAGATTGAAAGAATCTGCTGCATTCCCTTTTCCCTTGGCTGCTGGGATGCTCAGATAAGTTGAATGTTCAATTAATGAGGACCTAAACTGGCCTAGACATTTAGGATGTTTGTTTTCATCTGATACACTGCTTCTGATGTTTCTATTAGTATCTGAACAGCTAACTTAAGTTTCTTTTCACCATAAGGTTCCTTAACCTTTAATGAAAGTGGGATTTGTTTCCCAGAGGCACAGAGACAGTCTTCTAGCCTGTCACTGAGAGGATGAAATGGGACAGGAGATGTGAGGCACTGTGAAGAGTTGCAAGTGGTGTACAAACACAAAGCACGGTTATTTTGATTCGGGTGTCTCTTCTCAGTGGGGAGAGGGCAGGGCCACAGCGGAATATGATTGAAAAGTCAGCAGGCACTCTGGAGAGCCTTACCTGAAGGAGCTGGCCAAAAAGGAAGCTTGCTCGAGAGAGACGGGGACTGACCCGGGGGTCGCTGGTTGAAAGTGCCTCTTCCGGCTGCAGGGTGTTCTGAAATAGATTTATCAATCAGTCAGGCCCCTCTGGGCTTGGCAGGAGGTGAGAACACAGTGACACTGGTGAGAACTGGAGACTTGTCCTCAAGCTGCCTCTGTGCTAACACTTCTGCAGGGAAATCAAAGGGCTGCAGGCAAGGGGTGAGGCGGGGTAGGGGAGAGGAGTCCTGGGGACTTGGGAGATTGGTGACTTGCTTCAACAGGGACCAGGAACGGTAAAGCAAAGGCCTACAGTCTAGCCGGAGCCAGAAGCCTAGGCTCACCCTCCTTTTTGTTTTTTTGAGACAGGGTCTTGCTCTGTCACCCAGGCTGCAGTGCAATGGTGCGATCTTGGCTCACTGCAACCTCTGCCTCCCAGTTTCAAGCGATTCTCCTGCCTCAGCCTCCTGTGTAGGTGGGATTACAGGCGCTCACCACCACACCTGGCTAATTTTTGTATTTTTAGTAGAGACAAGGTTTCAACATGATAGCCAGGCTGGTCTCAAACGCCTGACCTCAAGTGATCTGCCCACCTTGGTCTCCCAAAGTGCTGGAATTATAGGCATGAGCCACCACGCCCAGCCAGGCACCAACCCCTTGTCCTGGAAACTCAGGACATGTGGGAGGGCGTGAGAGGTCAGGGCTCCTACAGGCAGCATTCCACTCCTAAGGAACCGAGTCCCTTAGCACTCATCATCCCAGTACAGATGGCTTGCATTTGTTACTGCCTCTAAAAAAGACTCAGGAGTGAGATTTGAAGCTGGCGAGGTCCCTGCCCCTGCCACCACCACAGGGAGCTTGGCAGACTTACCCGGAGTGCCCGCAGGGTGTGGTGGGTGCCGTCCACCTCCTCTCGGCTGCCCCGGTGCATCAGGCGCTGCAGTTTGACCAGGAGAAGCTGCTGGGCTCTGGAGAGTGAAAAGAGGAGCCTCAGGGGCTGAAATTCAAAGGCCAAGCACCGGGAAGCCAGCAGGGCCACAGCACCACACTGGCATGGGTGGGGTGTGGGTCCAACTCTGCGTAAGGATGGCCCTGTGGCTGGTGTGAGCTCTGAGCCCAAGGGGCACCCAGGGAGAAGATGTGGCTCCTCATATATGTGTTTGGATCCTACCTCCAGCACTGGCTCACTGTGAGGCTGCAGCAAAGTGGGTGAACCTCTCTGAGCCTTCTCCTCCCCTGTAAATCTGGTGTGATGATGCGCTCCTTGGAAGAGTGGCCTGAGGTGCGGTGTTATGGTCTTACAGATGTCGCGGTATGGACATGTAATTTCACAGTCTTACAGATGCTGCGGATGCCTGCCGTGTGCCTGACACACTACCTGTGCCCAGTCCTTGGGGGATGGTGCTGTTATAATGACAACGTTGCTGTCAGGATGGGGTCTATGGAAAAGGAATGACAAGTGAACCCAGCAAGAGAGCACAGAATTGGGTGCCAAGTGGTCTGGTCTCTACCAGACAGAAGAGGATTCTACGGGATTCTTGTGAAGGTCAAGAGAAAGGTCCTTGGGGAGGCAGGAAGGGCTTCCTGGAGGAGGAGGGCCTGGGAGACCTCTCCGTGAAACAGGGAACACAGTGGCCTTCTTTGGCCTGGGCTTCTCTACAAGCCCCTCTGCTGATGTTCGTGGCATCTGAGGCCCCCCTGCCTGGTCCTATGTCATAGACTCAGGGAAACAGGACCCCACTCTGGTTCTGGCCTCACCGGCTGTAGCTGGGTATGGTACCCATGTCCAGGTCATGGTCTGTGAAGGGGTCGACCCGTGCACACAGCCACTCGTGCCTGTCCTGGTACATGGTGTCACGGACGTGCACAACGTCGTCACACTTCAGAGACATGGTGCAGGCGTCCAGCTGGCTCGAGATGTTCAGGTTCAGCCGGATGTAGAACGAGTCCCCCGACGTGATAAGGCCATCCTCCATGTCCTTCAGGAGCTTCCGGTACCCTGCGGTGGGATAGATGCACCAGTTGTCTATTGGCGTGGGGCCACCCCGACCATCAGAGCACCTCCTAGAGTGCCTTACCTCACCACCAATGGGCCTGTGCAATACGCTTCTCTTAGAGCTCATACCTAGGGGAAAGCTCTACCTCCCTAATGAGGGGTAGCCATGTCGTTTACCAGTTTCCCTCTTTGTCTTGGCTGCCAGGAAGCTCAGAGCTAAAATTTTTTCCAAGTTGCAATGATAACCTTTACTAGCATTCCTGCTACAATCTTCATATTTCCCCACCATTATATGGCTCTTGTTTTTTATTTTTTTCACTAATGCATAACTCACATACAGTAAACTGCATACATTCTTAAGTACTCAGCTCAGTGAATTTTCACAAATGTGTATGTGTGGGCAGCAACAACCGTAGGCCTCTTTGTCAGTACCTTTCCCAAGGGGAACCATCATCCTAACTGACATTGCTGTAAATGAGCCGAATCTCACTTCATGTAAATGGAACCAAGGAGTATGTGCTCTCTTCACTTCCGGATTCCACCATTCAACATTATGCCTGTGAGATTTGTCTGTGATGCTGCAACATAGCAGGAGGGCACTCCTTTTCACTGCTGTATAGTATTCCACGATTTGTGGCTGTATCCATTCTCTCACGTGCAATTTGCATTGTTTGCAGTTTTGGGCTACTATGAACAACTTTACTATGAGTTATTTGTATACATTACTTTCTGTGGATATATGTGCTCATTTCTCTTGGGTATATACATGTAAGTGGAATTACTTGGCCATAGAATATCTATCTGTCTATCTATCTATCTATCTATCTATCTAACTAACTATCATCTACACAACTATTATCTATCTATTTGTGGATGTATGTGCTCATTTCTCTTGGGTACATACACAGAAGTGGAATTGCTTGGTCATATCATATCTATGTATCTATCTATCTAAATTTTTGTCTATCTTCTAACTACCTATCATCCATCCATTATCATTTATCTATCTTCTATCTATTCATCTATGATCTATCTACCTATCATCGATCAATCATCTATCCATCTATCTATCAATCAATCATCTATTGATCTGTGGATATACGTGCTCATTTCTCTTGGGTGCATACACAGAAGTGGAATTACTTGGTCATAGAATATCTATCTATCTATCTATCATCTATCTACTTATCATCCATCCATCATCCATCTATCAATTATCTATCATCTCATCTATCAATTTTCTTTCTTTCTCATCCTTCCTTCCTTTCTCTCTCTTTCTTTCTTTCCTTTCCTGCCAAATTGTTTCCCAAAGAGACCATGGTACGTGTCGTTTTAACCTTATTTAAATGTCATCATCCTCCCAAGTAAAGTTTTGCAAATACTTTGTGAGGGAGTGGGGCATGAACCATGAACCCAATAAATGCAGCAAGCTCTGCTATGATACAAAACCATAATATACACCCTCAAATCAGCTCCACATGCTGAGGCCTGTATAATACTGCAGAAGCTTAAATGGTTCTAACAGCTAGAGCAGCTCGTCAAATATCCACACCACATTCCAGGGCCATACCAGCCAGCTGGATTACCTGATGAATGTTCCCACCCCCTGCGCATGGAGAAACAGGGATTCCATTCCGGGTCCATCCGGGGGATCCTGGCCATCTACCTGGCCAGGGGCTGGTTGTGATCACCATCTGAGTTCTCTGACTCCTATAAAAACAGAACCTGCACACACAGGACCCTGCCGGAATGAACTTCTTTCCCTGGAATTCCAGACTGCAGGGTTGTGCTGCTGCACAACTCTGGGGGGCGCTGCTCACATCCTATTCTGCGGACCCACAGATTTCCTCCTGGGCTGGGAGATCAGGGTGCAGGACTAGGGAGGAGCCTGTTCTGCAAGTAGGAATGGAGCATCATTATTGTCTTTGCACGGGCAGGGCACTGCGGGGAAGGAGCTCGAGCAGGCAGCTCTGGAGAGTGGATAGAGAGAAACTGGCTATTTATGCTCTGCTGAAACATTCATGAGCCCTGGAGGTTAAAAATAAGATCCAGCCACAGAGATAATCATGTAGAAAAACCCAGAGGTGAGAACGAGAGCTCAGACTCCTTCAGAGCAGAAAACAAAGCTCAGAGCTCACTGCCCAGGTTTCTCAGTGGAGAAGGAGGAGATCCCATTCAAAGGATGCTGGGGGCCTGGTGAGAAGGGAGGGTGAGGCCCGACTGCCCCGCAGCTGGAGATCACAGAGCAAGAAGCCTGGGGCCTGGACTATGGTTCCGTGGTCTTGCTCCTGGGTGGAGAAATCTCTGGGCCCCTGGCCAGCAGTGGCACAGCATATGGTGTGAGCAGCGCCCCCCCAGAGTTGTACAGCAGCACAGCCCTGCAGTCTGGAATTCCAGGGAAAGAACGTTCACTCCAGCAGGGGGTCCTGTTTGTAGGTTCTGTTCTCAAAGGAGGCAGAGAGCTCAGGTAGCCATTGCTAGGGTCCCTGGCCTGGTGGGTGGGCAGACTTCTGAGATGGGCTGAGCAAAGCCAGGAATCCCCCAGTAGGACCCGACAGGGAACCTCTGTTTCTCCACGCCCAGTCCGTGGGAAGACTGACGCCAGAGCTACTATCTATGTACATCAGGGACAGGAAGCCTGAGAGAGGAAACAACTTCCACCTGCCAGGGAGAGGGCTGAGCTGGGCCTGCCGGGGCTCCAATAGGTGTGCTGGGGGCTGGGGATGCCGTCCGGCAGCTGAGGCACCTGGGCAGGTGCATGCAGATGTGGCCAAGGCGCCAGTGTGAAATAGCAAAGCCCTGCTCACGGCTGCTGCCATCCCTGTCTGCTCTCCCAGACCCGCCCTCTACGCCTCGTGATGCTGCCGGGAGGGGCCCACGCCTTCCACTGAACAGATGAGCAAGTGGAGGCTCTAGGTGGTGAGGTCACTTGTCCAGGTCAGGGACTTGCCTCCCTGGCCAGGGGTAGCTCCAGACGGCCGAGGGAGGTCTCACCTTCGTGGTTGACCTTGTAGTGCAGCGTGATGGGGCCGCTGCACCTCTGGATGGTCCAGCGGGCTTCCTCTTTGGTGCATGTGTCCAAGGGGACACTCTGCCTCTCGCCTCGGATGCAGCCTTCTAGCTGGAGAGCAGAGACAGCGTTCATCTCCCAGCTCCACGGGCAGCAGAGCCGCAGGGGCGAGACCACTCTCTCTACATTGGGAAAAAAGCACCTCTCCCCAAACAAAGAGTAGCTCAGTGGCAATGAGGGGAGAAAGCATCTCACTTGGGGGTGAACCTGCTTCCTGCTTGCACTCTGGGAGCTTGCAGGAGTCAGTGCCTGTGCACAGGCTGCAGAAACACGGGTGGGGAGCTGGGGAGAGAAGGGCCCCCAAGATGCTGATGGCCTGACCACCTTCCAGCTCCCTCCTCCTGCCCAGGGATCTGTGGCTGAATGCAAGGCTTAGGGGCTCCTAAATGTCACTGCTGACACTACAATTGCAGCCACCTCCCCTGCTGCCAGCCCCTCACCAGCAGCAGCTGGTGGCCCTCTCGGAGGCCGGCTTTCTCGGCCAGGGAGCCAGGCTTGACCGAGTGCACGAAGCTCCCTCGCGCATTGCCCCCCACCAGGGTGAGCTGGGAGATGAGGCTGTCGCCGTTCAGCGTCGTGTGCTGCACCGAGGGCCCTGGGCCCCGCACGTGCCCCACGGAGGTGACGGAAGGCCGGAAGGGTCTGCAGTGGGAGACAGAATGGCAGTTAGGCAGCTGGGCTGAAAAGAGAAAAGCCCTACCGGGACACACCAAGGGCTGGTGGCGCGCACGGGGACACCAGTCGCATGGCCTTCTGTGGTTGTCAGGTGCCTGGGAGTCCTGGCTTCGAGAATGACCCTTAATGCCTAAGGGAAGTGAGAGCTCACAAGCGGCTGCTGCTGTGAGAAACGCAGATGAGGAGAGGAGCAGAGGTGCCCTCCCTAGCCTGTGGCGGCTGTGCCATGTTAAAAGGGGCTCCTTGAGCAGGCCCACCAGGCTCCAGTGTCATGGACGGGGCCTCCTGGGTATCTGAGCCCCGTTTCTTTGCCTCTGCCTCATGGGCAAGCCCCTCCCTCTGTGGGCCTTGATTTTTGCACCTGAACAATTAGAGGGTCAGAGAAAGTGATGTCGTTTTTTCTTTTTTTTTGAGATGGGGTCTTGCTCCGTCATCCAGGCTGGAGTGCAGTGGTGTAATCATAGCTCACTGCAGCCTCAATCTCTTGGGTTCAAGTGATCCTCCTGCCTCAGCCTCCTGAGTAGCTGAGGCTACAGGTGTGTGCCACCATGCCCGGCTAATGTTTAAATTCTTTTGTAGAGATGGGGTCTTGCATGTTGCCCAGGCCGGTCTGGAACTCCTGGGTTCAAGCAACCCTCCCGCCTCAGCCTCCCAAAGTGCTGGGATTATAGGTGTGAGCAACACGCCTGGCCAGGAAGTGATTTCTGACTGAGAAATGCCAGGATTGTGGGACCAGCTCTAGGAGAACAGGAGAGCAAAGGGGCGAGGAGCCGAGGGGTCTTTATCTCATCCCACCTTCAACCCCGGCTTTCCCTTCACCAGGGTACCTTTCCAGAGAGAACTTCCTGAACATGAGGTTGACCTGCTCCAGGTCGTAGGCATCCAGGCCCTCAGACTGGTGGGAGGAGGAGGAAGAGTGAACGGAGGGGGGTCCGAAGGAGTAGCGTTCGTGACTGTCATCTGCAGAGGCATGAGGGCCCGTAAGTACCAGGGGTGACAGGGAGCTCCAGAGACAGTCCCGAGACCTGCTGGGGTGGCCCCGGCACTGGGGGCAGGCTCAGAGCCCTCCTGCCCTGCTCCTCTTGGGAGATGGGTCTCTGAGGATGCCTGGTGCAGATGGCTGAGTCCCTGCACTGAATGTCTCCAACACAGACGTCCCCCAGCCTCCAGGAGTTTCCTTGTAGTAGGAAGCCTTATCAGATATCTAGTTTTTAAGATTCCTGTTTTTTTTTTTTTTTTCCTGTATCTGGAAAGGGGAGCTTTCCATTAGCAGTTACTTGTTCTAGTTTTTTTGTTTTTTGAAAGAGGGTCTTGCTCTGTTGCCCAGGCTGGAGTGCAGTGGTGTGATCATAGCTCACTGTAGCTTCAACCTCCCGGGCTCAAGTGATCCTCCCCCCTCAGCTTCTGGAGTAGCTGGGACTATAGGTGTGCACCATCATGTCTGGATAATTAAAAAAACATTTTTTTTTTAATAGAGACCGGGTCTCACAATGCTGTCCAGGCTGGTTTTGAACTTCTGGGCTCAAGCCATCCTCCTGTCTTGGCTTCCCAAGGAGCTGGGACTACAGGCATATGCCACCATGCCTGGCTAATTTTTTTGGGGGGGGGTCTTGCTATGTCTCCCCTCCTGGCCTCAAGTGATCCACCTGCCTCGGCCTCTCAAAGTGCTGGGATTACAGGCATGAGGCACTATAGCCAGCTTCAAAAATAATTCTGTTTTTGAATTAGACCCCCAGATTTTCATTTTGGGACCCTAATGTCTCACCATCATCCATCGGCTTCCCAGCCTGCAGGGGCCTGAAGCAGGGTTGGGAGGGGAAGGTCTGGCCCCGATAAGAGGCCCCTCCCTATCTTCTCACCCCAGGTGGACCCAAAACACCTGGGGGAAAGACACCCACTGCGCAGAACTCGACGTGGCTGGGACAGGGGGAACTGCAAACGCTGCTGGGGGCTGATAACAAAGGCTTCTCTGCAAAACGAATTTTTCCCGACACTGCAAAATACTTTGGACGGTTGCCCAGGATTCTCTTCCCTTTCCAAAACTCTTTCAATTCTTCTCATTACCCAGCCTCGATTAGGTGCTAACCTCTCTTTAACACTTGATAGCTCTGATGGTGGCCCATTAAGGAGGACCGCTCATCTTTAGTTTCATCGGCTGGCAGCCTTAGCTGGCAAGGGCTGAGGGAGCCCTGGAATAGAGGGGGCTGGCAGGGCTCACCTGGAGGGTTCTGAGCCACAGTCTCCACTGCTGCCAGCTCTGTTGGGGCCAGGGGATGCTGCCATGCTCCCATGGTGCAGAGACAGGCTCGCGGGCAGTGATCCTGCAAGCCCGCCTTCACCCTCCCTATTTCTCCCCCTCCTGCCTTGCCCCTCCAATGCCGGCCTCTCCATCTGCATTCTGTACTCCTTTTGCACAGGCTGGTTAACAGCTTAACACATGAATTTCTTATGGGAACTCTCTGCTCCCAGCCTACTCTGCCCTCCTGTTTGTTCCTATCTCTGAGGCTCCTTTCATCTATAAAATAAGGGTAACAGTAACATTTCTGAGAGTGGTTGTCGACATTAAATTGGATCAGGTATGCAGGCTGAGCCCCTCCACGTGCCTGGCTGCAGCACGTGAGAGCTACTCTTTTTAAAAGCCCAGACCTGGCTTGGGCTCTCTGCACATAGGGTGGATAGACCCCCATTACCTACAAGTTAAAGAACAAGCTTGCATGTGTCTGTTGGCCATGGGCAAGCCCACCAGGGACAGAGGCTTATCTTCCATGCTCAAGAGCAACTCTGAGTCCATTCCACACAGTAGGTCTTAAGGGCCTACTATGTACAAGGCTGTTAGTCAGAGGCATGTGTGCGGTGGCCCTGTTCTCACAGAACGGCACCTGTGACCCTCCACCTGTGGCCCTCTGTGGCCTGTCCTACCCATGACCCTCCCAGATCTGAGAGGCACGTACCGTCCAGGTCTAAGGCGTCAAACCCGCCACTGTCATTGTCTTCTTCGACTGTGCTGCAAGATACAAGGGAGGGATGGGGAAAGCATGCATGTAAGCACGACTGTGCGTGTGTGTATGCAGGCAGAGGAGGGGGAAGCTTCCGGGTTTCCAAATGGCCTTGCTTCTGAGAGGGCAGTGTGGATGGAGGAGGTTGGGACAAGGAGGGGTGGAGGAGGCCGGAGGCTCCCGGGGAGGGTGGGCGGCCTGGAGGTCTTGGAGGTTGCGCCCTCCAGCAGGGGAGGAGGAAAGCTGGGGCAGGTGAAAAGAGGCCCTGTGGGCCCCACCTGCCATTCACTTCTGTCTCACTCTTCTCTGACACAGTGCAGGACTGAGATCCATCTGCCTTGTGTGATGGGTCTGGGAGCTGAGCGCCCCTTAGTTGGAGTGGACCGGCAATTGTCTGCCTGTGGTTCTTGCAGTAGTGCTTCAAGGCAGAGGTGGCTTTGGTGCAGATGCCACATATGGTTTCCAAAAGCTGCTTTCAACACCTGTCCCCAGCTGGCCAGAGGGAGTTCCCCCAACACAGCTGCTGGTGGAAGGGCTGGCATGGGTTTTTTTTTTTTTTTTTGAGATGGAGTTTCGCTCCTGTCACCTAGGCTGGAGTGCAATGGTGTGATCTTGGCTCACTGCAACCGCCATCTCCCGGTTCAAGCAATTCTCCTGCCTCAGCCTCCCCAGTACCTAGCATGACAGCCATGTGCCACCATGCCCAGCTAATTATTTATTTTTGTACTTTTAGTAGAGATGGAGTTTTGCCTTGTTGGCCAGTCTGGTCTTGAACTCCTGACCTCAGGGGATCTGCCCACCTTAACCTCTCAAAGTGTTGGGATTACAGGCGTGACCCACTGTGGGTATGACCCACTGCAGGTGTGACCCACTGCACCTGGTCTTTGCCGCTGATCTCTGGAATCAGCCAGGGAAGGCCATACAGAGAAACCCAAACCCAGGCCCCAGAGGGAACAGAGGTGTGAATCCAGCCTCCTTGGTCACTGCTTGCTCTCTGCCCTTCTGGAAACTGCCCAACAACCTCTGACTTTGTAGGTGACGTGCCAAATCCTGGCAGACTGGAAACAACTGTAGCCTACGCATACCTCTACCGTGGTTCTCCTTGTGAGGACACTAATGATTTTCAGGAAGTAAGGAGAGTGGGAGAGGAGAGTGGAGAAGCCATTCATGAGTTTCTTTTGTTTTTTGTTTTTTTGGAGACAGACTCTTGCTCTGTTGCCCACGCTGGAGTGCAGTGGTGCAATCTCAGCTCACTGCAATTTCCATCTCCCAGGTTCAAAGTATTCTCCTGCCTCAGCCTCCCGAGTAGCTGGGATTACAAGTGCATGCCACCATGTCTGGCTAATTTTTTGTAATTTTAGTAGAGACGAGGTTTCACCATATTGGTCAGGCTGATCTCAAACTCCTGACCTCAGGTGATCCTCCTGTCTCAGCCTCCCAAACTGCTGGGATTACAGGTGTGAGCCACTGTGCTTGGCCATGAGTTTCTTATTTTTTGGCAGAAAAAGCCAAGCTCTGGGGCCGTGGGGCCTGGGAACCTGATTTCTGGGCAGCATGGGGCCACGGGTCATGGTTTTTATCCTTGTACAGGTAGCTTGTGATCCTGGGGAGGCCACTTCCCTCCTCCGAGCCTCAGCCTCTCATCTGTACAGTGAGCAGCACCCTGCCTTTCAAGGTTGCTTTGAGGACGGCTGAGTCAGCAAGCTTGGACTGGCTCAGAGACAGGGTAAGAAGGCTGATGGGATGGGGCAGATGCCCAGTCCTCCCTCACCTGCCACCCACCTGCGATGGGGCGCATCCTCCTTATAGCGTCTGACGATGGAGTCGTTTCCCGGGGGCTCAGCGGTGATTGACATGATGCTGCTGCGGCTCCGGGGGGGCTGCTGCAGAGACACACACACACACGTACACACACACACACACACGTTACGGGTGCATAAATATTACACACGCAGGGACTACATTAAATGCAAAATCATGCCTGCCTCCTGCTCAGGCAGCGTGGAGGCAGCGAGCCGGCTCTCAGTGGTGACCTTGGCTGGAGCAGGCTCATGCTCAGCCTGGAGTGGCCGCAGCCGCTGAGTTTGGAGCACATCTGTTCCCACATCTGCTCACAGGGAGGACGCAGGCGGGAGCTGGCCGGCTGGGGGACTGGGGCGCTGCCTCGCCATGGCACACAGGCTGAGCTCGAGGCCTCTGGGCTCCACCTGCTGTGGGCACCTGCTCTGGACATGGTGCACAGTGTGGGCCTGGGGTGTGGGGAGGGCAACAGTGTCCCTGGATGGCACAGCTGCTGGAGGGTGACCTTTGAAACCAGGCCTGCTGGCTCCTGGCCAGGGCTGCCCTTAATAAGAGCCTGGGATTCTGCCACTCAGAGCCGCCATCAGACAGGAATCATTCTTTATAAAATCTCTGCCTCCCCCAGGGCCTGATTCTGGAAGCTGAGCTGATAAGCTTCCCAGGGCTTCCCCTGGGGTTAAAATTTCGAATCCTGGGCCTTCTGCTGCCTGCTTCCTCGGATGCAGTGGCTGGGACCCTGCCCGGCTCTGCCCCCATGGGGGTTCTGGGCTGGGGGGTGGCCTGAGCTTCAGTTTTGCGGTGGTTCCAGCTGCTCACCGCCCCCTGCCCTGCCTGCCACCCGCTCCCCAGGCTGCGGGAGTTGCCAGGGGCTGAGAAGTTGCGGCAGAATTTTCGCCGCCTGTGCCATGTGCGCGACAGCCCCTGGGAGGCCCAGTTCCTCCTCCCACCAAGTGTTAAATTGGGAAAGGAGGTGGCAGGAAGGTGTAAATACATTGTGAGGCTGTGGAAACTGCTCTAAATAAACATAAAGGAGGCTGAGGCTGCAGCTCAGAGCAGGCAGCAGTGTTGCTCAGAGGCTGGGACTGGGGGAGGAAGGTGAGGTGGGTTGGGGCTGGTGGGGTGGACAAGGCTGGGCCCGGGCCAGTGTTCTGCAGCGGGAGAGGGTGGTGGGGACTAGCTGGGGCCCTGCATGGCATTCTGTGGGGGAGACAGAGTGGTGGGGATGAGCTGGGGGCCCTGAGACAGCACTTTCGAGGGAGACTGGGTGGTGAGGATGAGCTGGGGTCCCAGATGGCGTTCTGCAGGGGGGCTGGGTGGTGGGGATCATCTGGGGCCCTGGATGGCTTTCTGCAGGGGGACTGGGTGGTGGTGATAAGCTGGGGGGTCCTGGGATGACACTCTGGAGGGAGAGCGGGTGGTTGGGGTGAGCTAGGGCCCGGATGCTGTTCTGCAGGGGAGACAATGGAGGGGACCCCAGGTCGGGCGGAGGCCGCGGCTCACCATCTTGGTGAAGGAGTTGGTGATAGGCAGAGAGCCGCAGGAGCTGGGGCTGGCGTCCGTGCCTTCTTCCTCATGTCCTTTGGCTGTTCTCACGGGAGACGACGCGGGAGAGACAGAGAAAGGAGAAGGGAGCCAGGGAGGGTTTGAGGTGGAAGAGAGAGAGGAGAGGGATCAAACGGGGGAAAGCGAAGTCAGAGCCCTGTGGTCAGTAGGCGTATGGGGCTTTCTGTCTGGCATCTCCCAAACCTCCTCCGAACAAGGTGGGTATGGGGCCTCTTCTCTCCCTTGGGGCTCGCTCTCCTCTCTGTGGCATCTGCTGGAGAAAGAGCCCTCAAAAACCTCCTGTTTTTTGTTAAATTTAGTTTTTTATAGAGATGGTGTCTTGCTATATTGCCCAGGCTGGTCTTGAACTCCCAGCTTCAAGCAATCCTCCTGCCTTGGCCTCCCAAAGTGCTGGTATCATAGGCATAAAACTATCTCTTCTTTTCCCATCTCCCCCCACCACAGTAGGCTCCTGGGGGGTGGGTCTCATTTGCCAACATACCACAGCTCCCAGTGAGGGTCAACCCCCGGGCAGCCTGGGTCAAAGCTGGACAATGTCATGTGTCTCTGAGGATTGCGTGGGGTCCCTGGCTGGCATTTTCTGTGAACCATGGACAACCGGGCATGAGTCTTCCTGTCCAATTCTCTGCCATCAAAATGGACTCTGCCTCTCCCTGACAAGAAGGGCTGGCTGATGGGGATGAGGGCAAGCTGGGGGCCCAGTCTGCCTCCTCCTCAGTGAAGCCTCCGTTGGTGTCTCCGCCCCAAGCCCTGGCTCTGTTGTGGGTTGCCTGGGGACCGTGTGCTCATCCTCTCAGCCCTGGTGTGATGGCTTTGCCGTCCGTGTCCCCTCCTTGCTCCCACCCTTGCTTTGTGTGTCCGTGTTGTGTGCACAGACAGCTATGCATACATGCACCCCCATCAGTGGATGCCTTTCAGGGAGAAACCATACGCTGTCCCTCCCTGGGCCCCCAGCACCTGGCACTGGGCAGCCTGTTAAGGTCTGATGAGGAGCAAAGAAACCCCATGGCCACTATGTCCTTTCCCTGCCCTTTGGTGCAACCCCCTTCTCTGCTTCCTGCAGGCCCCAGGCCCTTTGCACCTCCCTTCTGATAAAGAAGGCCATTGAGACAGCAGATGTGGCCATGAGGGAGCTGGATGTCCCTGCCCCCTGCCGTCCTGGCCTCCCTCCCCTCCCCTCTGTGACCAGAGAGAACAGCCTTAAGCATGGGTCTGTACTCTTCACTCTCCTGCCCTCCCCAAAGCCACCTGGGGGAGGCTTCATCCTCGCCATGCAGGATTTCATCCATGTCTTCAGCGAGTGCCCGCTGTCTCAGCCCAGGGCTCTCCTGCTCTGCGCTCCGGGGCACCAGTGCAGCTTCCTATCGTGCACCTCCTGGTCTCCACACCTGTGTTATGGGCCCTTCTCTGACCTGAGGAGTCCGTCCGGACACTGTGTCCCTCCACCAAAAGGCTCCTGTTTCCAGCCCCAGTTTAAATGTCCCCCCCCCTTTTAAATTTTGAGACAAGGTCTCACTCGGTGACTCAGGCTGGCATGCAGTGGTGCGATCTTGGCTCACTGCAACCTCCAACTCCCGGGCTCAAGTGATTCTCCTGGCTCAGCTTCCTGAGTAGCTGGGATTACAGGCAGCCGCTGCCATGCCAGGAGTATTTTTAGTAGAGACAGGGTTTCACCATGTTGGCCAGGCTGGTCTTGAATTCCTGACCTCAGGTGATCCACCTATCTCGGCCTCCCAGAGAGCTGGGATTATAGGCTTGAGCCAACACACCCAGGAAATGTGCCCTTCTTGACGGATCCTTCGCCAACCACTCTTGGGATCCATGCACTTTCTACCTCCTGGCTATGGCCCTGCCTGAGTGTGTGGTCTCTATGGGTGTCTACTCGGCTTTCCAGCACTTGGCACATAGTAGGTGCTTGATTTGCTTAGGCAAGCCCTACTAGCTGATCTGTCACTCCCAGAGACATGGTGAGGACCAAAGAGAAGATTTTGAAGGCAGTGTGTCTCGGAAAGCCAGGGACTGATGAATCAACCAGCCTCCCGTGAAGTCCTGTGGGGGACCGCCTGGTTAAAAGTCTTGCAAGAGGGTCAAACAGTCCTCTCACTGAGAAGCCATGGGCACAACGTTCAGCTGATGTACCAGAGGTTCCGGACAGACCCACTGGGAGAGGCAGGGAGGCGTAGAGGGAACCACAGAAGGGACATTTCACGGTCAGGGCTCCTGCCCGCTTTGAATGACAATGAACGTTAACTGCTATATGGATGGACGCCCACCACCCCGAGACCCCCGAGGCCCCGCCACGTTTACCCCGCAGGATTAATCAATACAGGGGGAGAAGCAGATGGACCAAGAGAGACAGAGTGACAGATGAGACAGGCCGAGAGAGATCCGGGCGTCTCCTAACCTTGAAAATCTGATGCTCGCTTCAGGCTGATGGGGGATTTGGCTCTCTGCAGCTAACAGGGAGGGGAGGGAAAGAAACAAGACAGGACACAAATCAAACAAGGCCCTAGACACATGTCACCGGAGCTTAGAAAAAACTAAAGCGAGGCCAACCATCCTGCCCCTCGTCACAGAGCTGCCTGGGTTGGCCTGGAGTGCACATGGACCGACGCGCATCTCCCTCGGCCAGGACTACAAGACACAGGAGCTCCCCTGGGCTCAAATCAGGCAGCTGCTGGTACAGACAAGCTCTCCTCCCAGGGCGGCTGTGCAATATGGCTCTTGGCAGAAGACAGGACAGGAGCCAAGAGCAGCAGAGGCGACTGAGCCACGCACGGGGAGTGTGAGGCTGAGCAGGTTTCAGAAGAGGGTGAGGCTGCTTGGGCAGGTGCCTTGGCCCAGGGTGCTAACGGGGGCCCAGTCAGCTCAGATGTGCTGCCTCAGGCCTTCAGGCTCACTGTGCGCTAGGCTGGGAGAGGCAGAGGCACTGTCAGGCTCTGCCGTGCTGTCTCATTC